AAACTTACAAATCTGACTCTCTTCAGTTAGAGGAGAAACAAAGTCAGCTTCCTGCCAACCTCCCTGGTATAAGAATGCCCAGGGGTTTTGGATCCAGCCAGAGCCCCAGGGCATGAGGTGACGGAGGACTGAGCAGCCACCCTGACCACATCACCTCGCAGCAGCAGGGCGGCTGAGGGGTATTTTGTGCATGCTGCTAGAGCATTTACCAGGGGCTGAAGTCCCGAAACCTGACATTGTCATCCAGCTATGTTTTATTTATGGGGAGTGGTGGCACAGCCAGGGTGTGCTAACAAACAAAGATGATTGCTTCTGAGCCACTCTCTCATCCTGAGGTAATTAACACAAAGTAATGCACCAGTTGGGGGATTCAAAGAGTCCACAACCTTTCCATCGGAAAATGATCTGTAACACCCAGGCCAAAAGGATGGAATCGGGAGAAACAAGGACACATTTTATCTTTGGTTAAAGATGCATCATTAAAAGGCACTGGCATAAATTATACTTCCTTTTTAAAAAATCCATATAACATTAAGAAAACTATGGCATATAAAATGTCAGGGGCAGAGATGTGTGCCTTTGTAGCTGTTAGCAAAGTGGGCCGGGGCTCCTGGTGTAGTTCAAATGGCATAAATTAAAAATATTGACTGCAACCAAAATAGCATTTGCAAGCAGCTCGGTGTTGCAATGTGTTATACAGACCATTTGCTTTTAAAAAAATTAAAATATGAATCAAACTTGGATGACAAAGAAGTTCAACTTCTCGGGAAAAATCAAATACATCATCAAAAGGTCACAATTCGTAGACAAATTGCTGTTAAAATTTATTACTTGTTTGCAAAATGTGCTGTTGATCATTGGTAACTGCTAAATGCTTGGGTGCCCCGACAAAATATATAAATAAATAAAGCACTCTGCATTCATTAAGGGAAAAAAAAAAAAAAAAAAACATGAGAAAGTCCCAAGAATGCTACAACCTGGCTGGAGGAGTCTGGGGAAGGGCAGATGCCTGGCCAGGTGAAGCCGGTGAGGCAAGAGCCTGCAACTCAGCATCAAAAGAGAACTAAGCATCGGCAAAGCTGGCTCATTAAAGCTCCCTGAGAAGATCTGAGATGATCCATCATCTATAATGCACAAAAGTCACAACCTCTAAACATCAACCAGCAAGGTGCCTGGAGCCCAAGGGTTATGCCTGGAGAGACCGTGGAAGTGTCCAGCCATCCTGGGGGCCTGACACTGACCTTGGGGGCGAAGCTTTGGCCCTGCTAGTTTCAGGTGTTTTTCTCTACATGGCTCTGGATGCCATGGGACACCTCTGGCACCCGGCAGAGCACTAGACACTGAGTAGGACATTCTGGAAGGTTTTGGTGGTTGGCTCCCCAACCTTTTCCATCCTTCTCACATTGGACAGCAACCGTAGGTTGGAAAAGTGGGCTGTTGTGCTCCATTCCAACCCTAGGCCCTTCTGGCCAAGGAATTGATGCAAGAACAGCCACGTGGCCCATTTCAGGCCAGTGAGACATGACAGGAAGTTAGCTAGAGAGCCCCAGAAACCCAACAGCAGTCATCTGTCAGGACAAATCACACCAGCTGCTGTAACAAGCATTCACAAAACCAGCAATATCAGGCCATCAAGGCTTATTTCTTGACCTCTGGGGTTCAGGGGGAAAGGCTGGGTGGGCATGGAAGGTGGACTAGAAGGCGGCGAAACGGGACAGGTATGTTGAGCCCAGTTGTGAAAGATCTGAGTGCCATGCTGAAGCTTCAGCAGCTTCTTCTGATGCTAGGTTGATGTTAGGTTAGGGCCATGCCTTCACTTTCTGGCCCAAGAGAAAGGGTTAAGGATGACCTTCACCACTCCCAGGTCTCAGCAGGATCCCTGTGGGTGTCCCTCCTTGTCTCCATAGCAATGGCTCATGTGGAGGCACCAGCTGAGATACTCCATCATCACTACACAGCAGAATTCTCTGCGATGATGGGATGGGCTGTCTGAGTGGGCCAAAGCGAGGGTCACCAGCCACGTGTGGCTATTGAGCACTGGCAATGTGGTCAGTGAACTGAAGAAACAAGTTCTTAATTTTTTATTGATTTTTAGAAAAAGAACTTGAATCTAGGAAGTTTCTGGCAGCTCCTGTGTTGGAACACGCAGTTCTAGACATGTTCCAACAAGATGGAAGGGGCAGAATCCTTGAATTACTTCAGAGACAGCTGCCCACATTCACTCTGTGGGCCATGACATTAGCAAGAAATAAGCCTTGATGACCTGGTATCTCCAGGGTTTTGCGCCTGCTTGTTACAGCAGCTGGTGTGACTTATCCTGACAGATGCCTGCTGCTTACTAAGTGCCGACTACAGCCCACTGAGGAGCCGGCATCCCTATCTTACATAAGCATCTCCGCAGTAGAAGGAGGCAGGTGCTATTAGCACCCACACTTCCAGGTGAGGAAAGTGAGGCACGGAATGGTCACTCATAGAGAAAGAGACTGAATAGGATCCCAAGCCAGGTAGGTCTGGCCTTGAGGGACCCAGCAGGGCTGTTCTCTTAGGTGCCTGGGTGAAGGCAGGCAGCGGCTAGACTGGAGAAGCACCCCCACAGTTTCCAAATCCAGGGGCCTCAGAGAAGGCAGGCCCCAGGGCAAAAGGGGTACCAGCCTCCCTTGTGCATCCTCAAGGCAAGTCCTTGGTTCTCTCATTTTCTGGCAAGAAATTCTTTCCTACATGCTGGTCCTCTTGTGCGAATAAGGGAACAACTGGCCTGCAGGGTCCTCACGCCCCCCAGGTGAGTGTTGCCGCCACAGCACTGCAGGATACTTCCTCCTTCCCATCATGCTAGAAGCCACAGGAGACTGCAGGGTAGGTGCACCCACAGGCGAGAAAGCACCACACACCCTGGTGGGGAAAGCCCAGGACAGGGCGCAGGATGTAACCTAAAGGGCTTGGATAGGAAGGGATGCATGTTCCTGAAGCGGGGTGAGAGTAGGGGGTGGGAGGCAAGCTGTCTGCAGCATCCCCTCCAGGTGAGGGGTGCTTAGTGGCAGATGAGGGGGACTGGGGACAATAGACATCACAAACCTCAACTCCTTGAAGCCTTTCCTCCTGTGTCACCCATCAATTCCCCCAGCCATGTTTGGGGGACAGTTCTCCGCCCAGACTGGCAGAGGAGGACACAGACTCAGAGGGCGGAGGCCTGTCCAGGGTGAGGCTGCAGGAGGGGTGTGGAGGGGAACTAGGAGGCAGAGCTGACATGCACAGACTGGAGGGAGGTGTGGGGCGGCCAGGGGGAGACAGACCCTGGGAAGGAGCTGTCATTAGACTCCCACTTGGCTTCTTGCACGTGGTCCAGAAACCCCCTGCATCAGAGTCTCCTAGGGGTTGAATTTCAAATGCATATTCCAGGTCCTGCCCCAGCCCTACCGCCTCCCCAGGGGCAATGCACTTAGGGTCCAGAGCTGGGGAGGGAGGAGCCCCAGAGAGGCTGAGCCATGCAGGAGCCTGAGGACAGACACAGAAATTGACCAGAGCACAAGTCAGAGACACACGCGGCAGGGGACACTCAGGGACAGAGACAGCACGAGACAGTGGAGCGAGTGAGACGAGACAGGGAGCAGGCAAGAGAGACTGGGAAACAGGGAGCACAATGACAGGAGCCGTGCCCATCTGCCAGGTCTCCCTCCCCCTCCCCGAAAGAGGGCAGGCCAGGCCAGATCAGCACCCCACCTCCGGAGCTGGGCCCCTCCCCACATGCCAGCCACCCCCTGCCCAGCTGCCAGGCGCTCAGGGCTGTGCCAAGTGGGTGTCTCCGTGACTGCGCCAGGCAAGGCTCCCCGGAGGCGCACACATGGCGGGGGGCGGATGGAGCGAGCCTTCGCTCAAGCCCAAGGCAGCAGCGGGCTGGAGGCAGGCTCGGGGCTGCGGGGGGTGGAGGAGGCAGGAAGGGAGGCTGGCACCGCGTGGGTGGGGTCGGGGACGAACCCGAGACCGATGGGGAAGCGAATGGAATAGTGCTGGGCACCTGCCCTGCCCTGGGTGCTCTGTCTGTGCCTCCCAACAGCTCCACGATGTTGATTCTTACAGGTGAAGAAACTGAGGTGGACGGAGACAGGCGCCGGACGTGTGACGAGTAAAAGGCAGAGCAGAGATTCCTACTCAGCCTCAAGTGTGTCCAATTCCAAATTCCACCTCTAAATTACCAAGGCGTCCAAGTTCACAAGTTCATTAGAGGACAAAGAACACTACCCGTTATTTTTTAAACCAGGCAATTTAGCAAGCCAGAGCCATCATTCTGCAGCCACAACCCAGAGGGGTCTCACACGGGGGCAGAGGTGACTGCAGGAGGGCAGAGGAGTCGGGCAGAGGTGCTGGATGTTTCATGGAGTGGAAGGGGTTATCGCCTCACTTAATTCTCTACACTATCTCTAAGAGCATTGAGAAAGTTACCAAAAGATCACATATATAAGAAGGTTGTCCAAATAAAAACAGTGTAGAAGGAGAATTAAAAAAAAATCTTGAGCTACTACAGCTGCTGTGATTGAGCATTAAATTTAACACTGAGCTTCCTGGCAGTTGTGGCAAAAAGTGGAATGCAGCAAGTTACATGATTCAAATAAAGATGAAAAATACTTATCAAGAGAGACATTTATTTCCCAAAGCTAAGTCCAAAAAATTATAGGTAAGGCTTTCAGAGGAAAAAAGTCACCAACAGCTGCCTATCTTGTTACACACACACACACAACCACTCGTGGGACACAGATTTACACGTCGTCTCTCAGCCAACTGAAGTCCCACATAAGCAGCACGAACATGTTCTAAAGGGTGATTTTCATAACCAGAATTCATCCGACTGACCCGGGGCGAGCCCATAAGAAGAGCTCATAATCTGAAATCACAGCTTCTTGAATCCTGAGAATCCTCGGGAAACAGATGCAAAAGAACTTGGAATCATGGGAGGAGCTGAGCAAGATATAAAACCGCTGGGTTCCGCTTTGTGATGCTGAGCCTGGGATAATGTAGAACTTGACAGTCAGAAAGAAGTAGATGGTTTCTTTACTGATGAATGTGGCCTCACTGGTGGGAACCTGAGCCAGGTCCTCTTTATGGAAGGGGATGGATTTTATATCCAGGTAGAGTTGCTCAGAATTTTCCAGGTGGCTTGTTCGCTGGAACCGAGGCAGATACAGATCTTCTAGGTCTTATGATGCAGCTACATCCTAATAAATCCATAGTAAGCTGAAAATACAAGTCAAACCATCGTAAGTAGGGGACCCTCTGCATCCACACACTGTTGGCCCCTCGCACCTTGTAGAGTGTCGGTTGTTTACCGCCATGATTGTGGGACTGGCTGAGAGCAGGGTTCATTCTGAGGCCCATCTCTGAGCTTGTGGGTAGCCGGGTCCACATGCGGCCTCTCCAAGTGCCCAGAGAGAGCAGGAGCCCAGCTCACAATACATAATAGACCTTTTAATGCCATACCCTGAAATGTGCTTGTTTTAAAACGAAACATTCGTCATAAATGTTACTCCAATGTCATTTCAATATAATTCTGATTATATTGTTTTTGTGAGCTTATAAAGACACATAGGAATCAAAAAAAGCGCTGGGAGGAAGTGCGTGAAAAGGATGACCATGGCTGATTCTGGATTGCATTTTAGCAGGACGCTTCCAGCTGCATGTGGAGGGCACCGTCATGCACCGGCGGTAAAGCTGGCATTGGAGAAGGAGAGATGGTGGCTTGAACTCAATCAAAAGAGGTGGAGGTGGTGAGCAGAGGTAAGTTTCAAGATGTGTTCTGGAAATAGAGAAGAGCTCATAGGACATGCTGCTGGGCTGGGTGTGTCTGTTGCTGAGAGAGAGGCATCGAGGCGAGCAGTGAGCAACAGGGTGGCCCTCTACTGACTGAGGGGAAGGCTGGGGGCGATTGAGGGAGGTGAGGTAGGCGGAACGGGGCTCACGACCTCTCTCCTGATGCTTCTCATCTCTAGAGATGCTTCTAGTTAAGCCCGGATAATGCCTGTCTAATGAGGTTGCCATGAAGTTCAGAAATAAGTAACTGCAACTCAGCAGCAAGACGTGGTGGGTCAGTCCAGGCTCTTGGATGATGCTTGTGTAATATTCTGCTTCTCAGATGTCCCAACATGCATTGAATCCTATGTTGTTAGGCACTGCTTGATTTTCACTTTCTGCTATTGCAAATACAACTACAGGGAACATCTTTGGAATCCTTGACTGAATGATAGCTTCTTTAGGATGGTTTTCTAGAAGAGAAATTATTTCAGCAATTGATCCAAAAAGGAGATGGTTTCGATTGTGAGTAAGGCTAACTTATGGAATGTGGAAGCATTGTGTGTCATCTGGGGGGGATTCCATTCAGAGCCTATATGTGCCTTGGACCACCATTAGGTCAAATGTGAGTACCTGTCAAGCAGGTGTTGAGTATTTCCAGTTGCAAAGGAGATGGAAGGAAAGAAGAAGGGAGGGAGTGGTAAATGGATGGATGGATAATGGATGGCTGGCTGGCAGGATGGCTGGGTAGATGGAGGATGGATGGATGGATGGGTGGATGGATGGATGGATGGATGGATGGATGGATGGATGGGTAGATGGATGGATGATGGGTGATTGATGGGTGGATGGATGATGGATGGGTAGATGGATGCACACATGAATGGATGAATGAATAAGTGAAAGCATGGATGTGTCATTTTCATGTTTCAGAGAGAAGTCCTATGTTAGGTGGGTTATATTAGATAACTTTTAAGGATCCCCGCCATCTTTAAGATTCTGCTTCTCCAGGGCTTCACTATGCTTTTCCAATATCCTTGCATTTTCCCATGTCATGCCCTGTGCAAGACATGCCTTTTCTTCCCCATCTGTTCTTATCTTCCCAGTAAGGACCTTTCTTTCAAGGAGCAGCACCCTAATCTTCCCTCACCCCAACTGACTAGCTGCTCCCTCTTCAGGGCTCACCCCTCCTATAGTTTCCTGTCCTAGTGCATTTTTCTCATTGAGAAAGGAACTCCCTGAGGGCAAAGACCAGGCCGGAGAACTCCTTTGCTTTGGGAATTAAATGGACCTGTGAGCTCAATCTGTTTTGGTTTCTTTAGAGCTTCCTGGATGGGTTATAATCAGAATCCTTGAAAATTATTGTGAGGGATTTATGCAGAACTGGCAAATTAGTGACTAAATCTTCATCTACACAGAAGAAAGTCAGAATCTTTACTCCTGGCCCCGCGGTGGTCTCTGAGCATGACTTTCTCAGAGGCGGAGGGAAGAATAGGCTGCAAGCGTGAATGGGGTGCCTCCCCGGATGTTGGCACACTTGGCCCTGGCGATCTGGGGACTGAGTCTAGGGTTTAGTCCCCAACACTAAGATGAGTCTCCCCAAATGAGCACATCCTGTGTATTCTAATCATAAAGCAACAGCATTTGGGGTTTGCTCTTTGTGCAGCTTTCTGGACAGGAAAGAAACACAAAGGCTCAGACGCCTGCTCTTTTAAGCCCGCTGAGACTTGGGGCGCGAGGCCCCAGGAGAAGAGAACTCCCCTCTAGGAGTCTTTTTCCTTAAGGTTTTAGAAGGCAGGGGAGGCCTAGCTGGTTCCCATCTACAGGTCAAATCCCACTTCCTTCACTCCAGCGATTCCACATGGTCCTGGGGCAATGGTGACTGTTGGGGTATGAAGAGGACCTGGTGGGACCGGCCTCCCTAGCCGCTGCCCTCCTCTCTGTGGGAAGACACCACAAAGCACCTGGGCTGGCATGCTTGGTGTTTCATGCTTTGCAGTCTCCTTGAGAAGGTTCTGGTGCTGCCTCACGTGGTGGCCTTCATAGGGACTTGAGTGGAATGTCCTCTGTGCCTTTAAACTCAGGCAACGGAGGCAGCGTGGTCAGGAGCCCATAGGTCCTGCACACCTTGTCATGGGAGCTGGCCGCTGACTCATCGCATCGACAATGCCAAGGGGCCTTTGTGTCTAAGCAGCTGAAGCCCAACAGAACACGGTCACTTCTCCACCTTGTCAGTCACAGGCCCAGCACCAGGGAAAGCCAAGTGAAGGGCCACTTCCTTCTGAGGGGCCTGCTGCGCATTCGAGGTCGCCTCCAAGAAACCCCCTCAAATCTGTTAACATCTAGGCCAGGATGTTATTAAAACCCACTGGTGGTCTGAGAGGTGACTTGTCCAGCGACCTCGAGGATGGGAAGTCTGGGGGACCTGACCAAGGGCATGGAGCCTCTTAGGGCCTGGGGGCAGAGTCTTCCTGACCCGTTCCCAACACCTCAGCTCACCCCACGGTGCTCACTCCGTATTCCGGAAGTGTGGGCCAAATGACACTAGACTCGAGTCTCCTGGTTCCCAGCCAAGCGCTCTTCCTGCTAAACCCCACTCTCACTCGGGGCCGGCTGTGAGGCTCTCCTGACCACTTTCACGGCACGACTGGGCTGGCCCCACCCGCAGAGATGTCCACAGGCGAGGCCAGGGGTGGAGCCTGGGCATCGAAATGACCCGAACTGGGGTTCCCGGAAACACTTCTCCCCGGGGGGGGTAAAGAGAACTGGGGCCTCTCCTGCCGTTACCGCCTCTCCTCCCAGGGCTCGGCATCACGGTTTGGGTCGGAAAATGGAGAAAGACCTTCCATTCCCCCCCCCCCCGGGAAGTCAGCCGTCCGCCCCCACCCTTCAAAGACACAGAAAAGGACAAGGTGTGGAGATCAAGTTAAATGTCCAATTTATTTTTATAACTTGAAACCAGAACAAAGTTGGTTTTGAACAAGCGTACACATGAAATGGCAGACACATGCTGAACTCAACATCGCGACATGAAGGGAAAAAAGAGGCCCCGAATCTTGAGTAAAAGGAACAATAAATATTTTTACTAAGCCATATTGAAATGACCTCCTGTCATCTCAACATTTTATCCATAATAAAAAAAACGTGCCCGTTTCTTAAACAGAGCACAAATACCAAGCAATAATAAATAGTTTCAAACTTGTAGTAAAAGACAAAACCTCCAAGTAAACAACAAAAGCTCATACAATAAGTAATAGAAAAGGTAATAAAAATATTTCGCCTTGCCAGTACAAATGCGAACAACTGAATTCAATGTAACTTGGCTTTGCAGGGCTGAGAGACAGAGAGCACCAAGATGACGGAATCGCCTTTGTGCAAAACCCTCGCCTGACCGTCACTGAGGACCGGGATGAAAGGCTGATTGATGTCCTGACTTTTCACATTTTGCGTAGAGGCCTGCTCCCCGCGACAGACCCCCTCTGAGGGCGAGGGGCAGGTTCCAATTTGGGGCAACTCTTGAATCAAGTTGTGGCAGTGTTGGAACCGGCCGGGGGGTCGGCGGGGTGGCCCGGCCGCCGGGCCTCTCTCGCTGGGTCATCTGCTTCGGGGTTGGCTTATGAAACATGAAAGAGAAGCAAAAAGGCTCTTCCCTGTGTGGAGAGACCAATCTTTGTGCTTGAGGATGGCTTAGTCCTGGCCTTCGGTGACTGTGAGCTGGTGAGCGCTAGCTATAGCTTTGTGGCCCGGGATGCACTTGGACCTCCAGAGGCCCTCGGGGCAGGGGCAGCCCCGGGGTCTTCGGGTCAAGCGGGTTAAGAAACCGAAATCTCAGCGGTATGGCCCACGCCTCCCCCTTTCTTTTTAACTTCGCAAAGGTAAATGGCAAGGGGGGGAAGAGGCGCCCAACAGAAAACCTCCCGAAGAAGGATTTCTGCATTTGGTAGAGAACTGCCCCCAAAGGATGCTTGGTTACACTTCCATAACCTGAAATCATGGTTTCGTATATTTCCTGAAATAAAAAATGGCTTCCTGATATAGGTACATTTTTTAATGTATTATTCCCTCATCCAAAAAACCACCACTTTATCATCTTAAAGCTACTTGGCTTTACAAAAAAAAAAAAAAAAAGAAAGAAAGAAAAGAAGGGGTAGAGGGACAGGGACAGAAAGGAGAAAGGAAAGAAATGAAATCAAAATGAGAGGAACAGAAGGGAACCCACAGAGGCTGGAGGATGGAGGGGAAACGCAGAGAAAGGAGAGAAAGGCACGGAATTCATCCCAGGCCCTAGGCGTCCGGAAACTGACGGCTTGTAGGTTTCGGAGAGAAAAGCAGCAAAGCAGGGAAGAAAGACACCAGGCCCACGAGCCCCGAGGAACACAGATCCTGGCTGGGCTGCGCCCCTTCTTGGCAGCCCCGCAGCAGCCGGGGTGCCTGGGCCTCGCTGTCAGGCCGGGCCCGGCAGGATGCCGCGGCCTGGGGACACTCACAGAACTAAGGCCAGCTCTGGCTGCGCTTCTGGCTGCTTCTACGGGGCCGGGAGAGGTGGGGGCCGCCACGGTGGCCACCGCAGAGGCGGGAGCTGCCCTCCGGGCCTCTCTCCTCTACCCCTGACACCTTACAGACGGCCTCTTGGAGAAAGGGCGGACTGTGAAATGTTACGACATCTTTACAAAAACTGATTTTTCCCACTCAACACGAATAAAGAATTTCCCATCCTGTCTGCTGTGGCCACACCAGGGAGCCTTGATGCAAGGTCCGGGGCATCCAGTGAAGCCCTGGGCCCACAGTCCTTCGTAGAGGCCAATTCGGACAAAAATATATACAACTAAGATGATTTGTGAGCCGAAGCATTTAACTACTTTTGTTTCTTTTTCCTCAAAGGTTGTCAAACAAGCCTTTTCCTCCTGTACAATAGGACTTAACATACAAATTTTTTTTTTTTGCAATATTTTTATCCTGCCAAATTAAAAAAATATATTATGGCAGCCTGTTTGTTTTTGTTTTTTTTTTCTTTTTATTTCCAAATTCACTAACAAAAAGGTACATTAAATCCCTTTAAAAGGACAAGCTTACAGTTAAAAAATTACAAGCTCCAGTAAAAATACAGCAAGTGCCTACATCATATGAACCAACCAATATATCCATTCCAGAGGGAGGTGGGAAGAGAAAAATAAGTACAGGTCAGAAATGTGATTTTTTTTTTTTTTCTGCAAAGCAATAACAATATTAAGCACTTTTTTTCTACATACTTTTTTCTACATGGTGTAGCAATCCCCTTTGAATCCCCAAATACAAGTTTCTATACATTTTTTTTGAAATAAAAATTCAACACCCAAGGCAGAAAAAAATTTACTAAAACTCCGACTTTACAGTTACTGTGACAAGAACAAATTTATAGACCCACCATTTAAATTTTACTGCAACATTTTCAAGGAAAAGAAAAGGGTTTTTTTTTTTTTTCTTGTTTTGTAAAATGCCCAGGCATTCTCGATTATTACAAATACTGGTCCACTTTTACAGTAATCAAGAAATTTTAATATATATAATATATACTAAAACCCCGTCACCAAAAGAAAACAATATACACGCAGCCGCTGTGGCATTTCTTTATAACCTATTAAGCAAACTTTGAAAAAAAAAAAAAATGATCGCTCCAACACACATACACACATTTTTTTTTTTTACCCTTGTATGTATCTGTATGTATCCAATACTGTAAACGTATTTTTAAGACAGAGTGCACTAAATTTAACTTTAGAAAAAAATGAGCTGTTTGTTCCTGAATTGTTTTTTGTTTTGTGTTTCATTCAACGATATCAACTCGCAACTTGTGTCACTTGAGTTTTAATTCAGCAGTGAATCACCTCCATTCCATATCTAAGCAGTATTCGCTCCCCCCAAGGAAAAGGGTCTGAGGGCAACTCAGCTAATGGATGTCCACGGTTGTGCTGGATTTATTTCTTCATTTGATTGGGTCTTATGGCATTTTCATGTCCTCTATCTTCAACCAGGATTTTTAAAAATTTATTTAAAGTAAATGTGGCTTTGTTTGTTTCTAAAGAATGTATTTTTCTTGTTTTACTTTTTTAAAAAGTCTTTTCATTTCAAGAAAAAAAAGGTTTTGCATTTGTCTCAAGAGACTCAAATAGGAAGATCAGTTTTCAAGGCACTCGCATCAAATTGAATGGCAGTAGAAAAACTGTCCAATAAATTATTATTTTATTCTTTATAGTGCCAGTATTGTGCACGCCTCGCTTAGCAACACCGACACTCAATCCCAGGTCCCTTCCAGTTTAACCCACCTCTGGGCCAAAGAGAAGAATAGGCGGCAATTTCTTGTTTAGAAGCCATTTAATTTAAATGCAAACAAAAGCTTTAAAGTGCAGGCCAACAGAATTCAAAGGTCTAATCTTAAGAGTCCAATATTTAGTACCTTCCAACCTAACGGGACAGAAAAAAAGTGGGAAGTAGCGCTGGGCACCTTCAGGTGGGACTCTCCCCTGCTTTAGGAAAAACAAGCTGCTTGTTCCCGAATTGTTTTTTTTTTTTTTCTTTCTTTCTTTTTTTTTTTTTAATCCAACGCTATCAACTGGCAGGAAAATGGGACAGAAATTTGCAAGTTCCCCCACCCCGTTCCCTGCACGCACAATGTCATCAGTGTGCAGTGAGTGAGAACACTGCACTGCCCTCCACTCCCCCTCAGGGCACCTGCTCCTTGAGAAATGACCAGTTATCACTGGTGGCCACAGACGTGGCGTCCCTTGGCGGGCCAGGAGAAGACTGAAAAGCCACCCCTGGTTTTTCCTCCTTTCTGAGTCCCTGCCTGCCACCACCACCACCTGCTCGCAAGTGCCCTCAGCCCATTCTGACTACAGCCAACGACGGGAGGCCCCAGGGCTGCCCCAGGCCAGGGAGCCAGCGGCGGCGGGTCTTGGACCAGGAGGGACTGCCTGGGCCTTGCCCGGTGGGCCCTCAAAAACTCGGGTTTCCCTGGCAGTGCTGAGTTTCTGGGGTGCCTCTCCCCCACCACGAAGTTTTCCCTCGTCTAATGTAAAGGTGGAAATCCACAGAAAGGCCTCTGTTCCTCAGGAAGTCATCAGAGCTACATCTCCATTTCAATTCTGAAACAAAGTGCTACAACTTTAAAGATTGTTATCCGCTGTACACCCCCCCCCAAAAAAAAAAAAAAAAAAAACAAAAACAAAAAAAAACCCGCATGCCACTTTTTATTTCAGGACCAAAAAAAAAAAAGGACTATAAAAGAACTTTAAAGTCATTTAAGTGTTGGCTTCTTCACAAGAAATTACACATGCTTAGCTTAAAATTTCAAAAAAGCAGCGCCCGCCCCCCCAAATTATAATTTAAAAGCTAGGCTGCCTCTCTGCATTGTTTCCCAGCCATCGCTCAGGCTGCTACTGGGTTTAAAAAAAAAAAAAAAAAATGAAGAAGGGATGGATACCCAACAAAATCTTTGAAAGGAATCTCAACAGAAAGAAGAAGAAGAAGAAGAAGTACCTGCACATGCCCCAAAAAATGACAAAATCCAATAAATACAGAAATTATTGCACAGTTAAAAGGCTCCACAATTTCGACTGCCTCGATCAACCCTCGGGTCTCCCTAGGACTTCGCAGACTCGGGCCGGGCGGGAGGCCGCTGCCGCCGCCGGGGGTGCCGGGGAGGGCGCCCGGGGGGGTGCCCGGGGGCGCCCGGGGCTGGGGGGGCGCGGGGGGCGGGGCGCGTCCTCGGGGCCGGCCGCGGTGCCGCTGTCCAGGGGGGCCGCTCGGGGCGCGCGCTTAGCTGCGGTCGGCCTGCTCGATTTTGACGTCGTTAGTCAGCAAGTGCTCCCCGTGCCACTTCTTCATGTGTTTCTCCAGGGTGCTGTAGACGCTGAAGGGCATCTGGCAGATGTCGCAGCGGTACACCTCCTTGCCGATCTGCCCGTGCGTCTTCATGTGGCGCGTGAGCTTGCTGCTCTGCGCACACGCGTAGTTGCACAGCTCGCACTTGTAAGGCCGCTCGCCGGTGTGGCTCCGCCGGTGCACCGTCAGGTTGCTGCAGTTCTTGAACACCTTGCCGCAGTACTCGCACGTGTCGCTGCGCCGGCCCTCCTTGGAGCTCGGCCGGCCGGGCCCGGGGCCGCCCAGGTGCGGCGTGCTGCCCCCGCTGGCCGTGCCGCTGCGCCCCGACAGCCCGCCGTCGAGCAGGTCCCCGGGCGGCGTGGAGAAGCGCAGGCTGCCGTTCTCGGACGAGTGCTCCGACGACGTGGCGAAGGGCGACTGGCGCGCGTCCGTGAAGCCCAGGAACGGGTCCTTCATGAAGTGGCGCGACGCGGCGTAGCCCACGAGCCACTGCGAGTACACGTTCTCCGACGGGATGAGCGCGGCGGGCGGCAGCTCCAGGTCCTTCTCCACCTTGATGCGCTTGGCCGCGCTGTTGAGCCCGGGGCTGGGCAGCGGCGCGGGCTTGCGCGGGAACAGCCCCGGGAAGGGCTCGGCGCCCGGCGCGAAGCCCCCGCCGCGCCCGTTGACCGCGCCCCCGGGGCCCGCGTCCCCGCAGCCGCCCGCGTCCTCGTCGTCGGGCTCGCCGGCGGCCGCGCGCTTGAGGAAGGCGCCGCGCTTCTGCTTGTCGGCCAGCAGCTCGCCGTAGGGCGGCAGCGCGCCCAGCCCCGCGCTCTCCATGACCTTGCCGAGCACCAGCGCCTTCTCGTCGGCCAGCGCCTTGGCCGCGCCGCCCGCGCCCGGCCCGCCCGCGCCCCGGGCACCCCGCCGCCGTTCTCGCGGCTGCGGCTGAGCTCCGAGTCCATGCTGAAGCTCGACTCGGGCCGGCTCTCGTTCTCCAGCAGCAGCTCCTCCTCGTCCTCCTCCTCGTCCTCGTCCTCCTCGTCGGGCTCGGGGCCCAGCGACGGGTCGCTCTCGTGGTGCCGGAACTCGCCGTCGCCCGCCTTGAGGCCCTCGCCCGCCAGCTCGCTGGTGCCCGGCTCGGGGGAGCTGGCGGCCGAGAGCCCGTCGTCGGAGCGGCCGGCCAGCGAGCCCGCCTTGTGCATGTGCGTCTTCATGTGGCGCTTGAGCTTGCTCGCCTGCGAGCACGCGTGGTCGCACAGCTGGCACTTGTAGGGCTTCTCGCCCGTGTGGCTGCGCCGGTGCACGATCAGGTTGCTCTGGAACTTGAAGGTCTTGCCGCAGAACTCGCACGACTTGCTCTTGGCGGGCGGCTGGGGCGGCGGCGTCCCGCCCGGGGGCATGGGCGGCAGCGGGGGCGTGCTCAGGAACGGGGACTTGGGGCTGGGCTGGAAGGGGTTCAGGAGCCGGTGCATAGGGTTGCCGCGGCCCGGCGACACCGGCGGCGGCGTGGAGCTGTTGCCCGCCAGCTCGCGGAGCCGCCGCGAGAAGTCCATGGCGGGGGAGTCGATGGCCATGGGGTTCAGGCGCATGACTCGGTCGAAGGCACTGGGGTGCTGGGCGACGAGCCCCATCTCCTCGGCACTGAGGCGGTGCGGGTCCAGGTGGTGGCGCGGCGGCGGGCTGAAGAGGGGCGGCGTGCCCGGCAGGCGGCCCTCCCCGAAGCCCGGGTGGTCCCGCAGGATGGGGCCCGTCATGCGCAGCAGGTTGAAGGGGTTGCTGTCGCCCAGGAAATTCATGAGCGGCGACTGGGCCACGGCCTCGGGCCCCAGCGGCGGCGGGATGGTGAGCCGCGGCGTGAGCGAGCTGCTGGCCGGGCCGGGCTCCAGGTAGATGCGGAATCCGTGCGTGTTCTGCGCGTGCTGCAGCAGGAACCACGCGCTGTTGAAGGGCTGCTTGCATGTTGTGCAAATGTAGCTGGAAGGCTCATCTTTACCTGGGGAGACACACGGACAGAAAGGCAGACAGAGCGTGAGAGGCGGGCACTGGGCACTCCCGCTGCGCCCCGACCCCGACGCGCTTCCAAGGATCCCGGCTCCGAGGCGCGGCGGGTGCGCCCCTGGGGGGCTGGCCGAGGGCTGGGTGTCCACCTGGCTGGGCGCTGAGGAAGCAGCGCTGGGCCCGGTGGGCCTGCCAAGCCCGGGTCAGCCCCTGGGCCTCAGCAAGGCACTGCTATTGCGCAGGCCTTTGGGGTTCCAATAAGGAAAATGAGTTCTTACTCCCCTTGTCTTGGCAACCAGCGAGATGGAGTCTGCGAGAGGGAAGGAGCCCAACGCAGGAATTATATGAAGGTGCTCGCCGACCGCACACCTTGCAGCCATCCCAGCTGAAACCGTCTAGCCAGGGCCGTGAGCCAAGGCCCTAGAGCATTTAGACCCGGATAATTCTGTGGTTGGGTGGCAGCTACGTGGAGCTCTGTGGGATGGTGAGCCTAGCACATCCCTGCGGCTTCTACCCGCTAGAGCGCCTCCCTCAGTTAAGAGGATCAAAAATGTCTCCAAACATTGCTATATGCCCCTGGGGGGACAAAAAAAACTCCCCCTCCCCAAGAGTCACTGATAAGCCATTCATATGCAATCCAGGCCTCCCTGGCGGCACAAGGGGTTAAGTCTCAGCGCTAACAAGCTATCAGCAGCCACTTCAGCAGGAGTTCCATCCCCAGCCAGGGAGCCACCCGCATGGTGCAGCAGACCTCTCCTGACTCACCCACTGCTCCCCTCAGCAGTGTATTTCAGTGGATCCACCTGTTCTGCTTCCCACCCTATCGCTGGTGAATCCTCTCACCTCCCTGCACCTCTGACCTATACCCCAGCTCATGTATGCAAAAATAAAATAAATCTTTTAAAAAATATATGCAATCCAAGAAGTTTTCAAAATCAGAAGTCAACTGACTGTCCTGCAGTCAGTTCATACCTCTGCACCCTTTGGGATTTCAACTTTAGGAAATTCTAGGGTTTCAGACACCAGCATCCATGCACCAGCTCAAGTTTAAACACGTGGGTAGGAACAAAAGGAATTCCACAGGTGTGGCAGCGGCCCCGGGCTCCCCAGTCCTTACACAGGGTCCTAGTCAAGCTGTGGAATCTACCCCCTTCCCCCACAGAAGGGGGACACCCGCATCTGGGAAGGCCCCCACCAGAATGCTAACTGAATGAAAAAACCTGGTCCTAGCTGACGGGGGAGTCAGCCTGACTGGTGGTGAGTGTTGATTCGTGACAAACTGCCTCTGGGGACATCAGGAGCAAAACAGCGTGGACACAGGCAGCCCAGTGCCAAATGTCACGGTCTTTGTCCCATCCCGGAGCAGTCCCAAAATGGAGGCTGCCGGTTTCATCCAGAACCTGCCTGGTGGCTACCCTCCCAGCTGGGGTGAAGCCCCCCACTTTCTCAGTTGGAGCATCTCCTTCACCTTTCTCTAAACTGGACGCCATTTAAACCAGACAGGAGCGGGCAGACCCCGCCATCATGCCTACCCACACGCCCGTTCACCAGGGGATGCCAAAGGCACAGAAACTCATCCAGACCTGGCACAAGACATCACAATCACAGTCCTCAAAATCCCCTCTCTCGTTTCAGATTTTCCTGGTTCTGGAAGATTTTAACTCCCATAAAGGATGGCCATTGCTAATGCTCAGATGAAGCCCAACTTGCCAATGAACAACCGTACCCCGGGACCGGTAGGCGCGGGTGGAGAAGCCAGGCCTCATGGCCGCAGCTCTCCTGGGAGCGCGGACTCCGGCGATTCTGTTCAAAGTTTGTGTTTTACCCACGGATTATGCTCCTGAAGGGCTGGACCCTGAACAGTAAAAACCAAATGACTCAGTGACCCAGTGTCCTGGCTTGGTGCCCCCAGAGTGGCAGGGTGGAGGCTCCCCAGACCTCCACCACCAGACCACAGGAACCCAGACACCAGGCCCACGTCCCATGGGGGCTGTTCATCCTCCCCTCTGACATCATGCCTGCGTGTCTGGGGTGAAGAGACTAGTGGTAGAGGGACAGAAAGAGAAAAGAACTCTGAAGCTCAGCCCCTTGCTTTTCAAAACAGCTCAAGGTGAACTTCTGGGGCAATTTTCTTTCTCCAGGGTGCCTGGGTAATCGGCTGCTCCCAGGAGGGCTGGGCAGTCCAGACCCCACCCTGGGGTCCCTAGGGAGAATTTTCCCCACCTGGAAAACAGCAGGGAAGCCCGGGCCTCCAGTGTCCCACTGGGGGAGCTCTGAAGCATACAGACACCCCAGGCTTCTCCTCCCACACCCCCAGCTAGGACAGAAAGAGCCAGCTTCCAAGGAGCCACCTTCACCTGTCCTTGCTTATTAGCTGATGCACACAGAGCAGACCCTGGAGCTCAGACAGTCTCACGGGAGAGCTGGCCAGCAGCCACAGCGCTCCCCTCACGTTCTTTTCTTAAGCAGACATAATAAGTCAGTCACAAGAAGATACATAAAAGGCCCTCTCTGACACAGGAGCTAATAAACAAATGCAGCCCCACATCCCACCGGGTCATAGAACTTCAGATTAAAGAACACTTCTGTGCCCTGCACCTCAGTTTCAGACACCCCAAATTGTGGTTTTTTTGGGGTCCCTGTCTGATTCCTCTAAGTCGGACACTCCCTTCCCCCATTTCTTTTTTCATCATCTTTATTTCCTTGGCTATCTCCAGAGCTCTTCCAGGATCTTGTTCTCTCATGGTCACACATTTTCTAGAAAGTTCTATGGCTGTCCAGGAAGGTGGGATCAGAACAGAGTGCAGAACCCCAAGCAGGCCTGATGGTCGGCTGCTCCACACCCAAAATGGCTGATGGAAGGATTTGGTAAAAAATCACAATGGCAGCTGCTGGGGAACGTGTAGCAACTTGTTCTAAAAAGCTAGAAGCTTCCACTTCTTGTTTTTTTTTTAAAAAAAAAAAGGGAGTGGGGGAGACACTTCTGAAACTCTAGCCTGGAGCCACCAGGGAGGAAGCTGCTGTGTGTATTGGCCGTCAGGTGGGGTGGGGTCTGCGTGTCCACCGGCCAGTGTCAGGGCTGCTGGCCATGTGGGGTAGCCCACTCCCCCCATACCCCCAGACTGCTCTGGATGCCAGACTTCCCTCCAGATGGCAAGTCTGGCTGCAGGCTAGGGCCTTCCCGGCGTCTGACAGCTTCCGAGGTTTGTAAGCCTCTCAGCCCTCCAAGGCCCTCCCCAGACAAATATCTTTCCACTCTCCCCAACTTTTTAATAAAATGTTCATTTCCATATCGCCACTTGGTGGTTATCTCTTGCCCAGAGTAGCCTTGAGCACTGGGCCTGCTCGCTTTTAAGAACAGAACAATGTCAGAAAGTCTTTGACTCAGAACAGTTTTCTATTTGAAACTTGCTAAAAATTCTTTGCTCACCACACATGCAGTCACAGGGGACCAGCTGTCAATGCGGCCGGAGACCCTGGGCGGGAGGCGCCTCCTGACTCCCGCCTCCGCAGGGTCACCTACCCAGGTGAGCTGGAGGCTGCAGGAGGCGGCGGGTCTGCCAGCCACCCAGCCAGCAGCCACCTCCCACCAGCGACTCACCCAGTGGCATCAGCCAGGCCTCCAGACCTAGAACGCCAGCTGCGGCTCGGTCTCTGGCTCTGCTTGGCAACTCAGCCCCAGGACCCCATCTCTGCCTGTTGCTTCTTCCTCCCCAGATATTTCTAGAATCAGTTGGCAGAAACCCCCTCTGGGTCTTCTCTGCCCTCCTGGCCCTAAAGGGGGTCCCTGATGGTCTTCTCAAATTTGAAACCCTCCCTGCGACTGCCCAGGTCGGGGTGCCCAGCTGGCGAGCAGCGCAGGGGCTTCCTCTGCCGTGACCGGCGGGTGATGTCAGCCAAGTCACGCCCTTCGAAGCCTCCACCTCCTCATCCATGGAATGACTCTGAAAGGGGCTGGGGGCCTGACTGGACCCCGTATAAATGGCGTATCATGTCAGCGGCCTTGCGTTTTGTATGTTTCATTTATCGTCCATCCCCGACACCCCAGGGACGTCTTCCTGTGTGTGACTCTGCAGGAAGAATTTTAATGCAGCCTGCCTGGTGCAGGGTGGGGCAGAAACTTGCTGACGTTGAGGGCACGTCACTCTTTACTGTGGCATTGGGCAAAGAACCCACAACTGGACTCCTGCAGGGAAATGCTATTTCCCCTCTGCTCTGAGGTCTTGTTTTGAATGAGCATTGAAGTAACTGTTCCTCCCTTTTACGCCGGTACTCGAACACCAATGAAGGCTGCGAATGTTCAGTAAAAAGCCACGCTTTGGACTGGTCGTTCCCAATGAACAGGCCCTTAAAGCACAGCACCTGCTTACCGGGGCTGCCCCCGAGGCCGGGTCCTAGCAGGTGGGCGGGCAGCCCTGCCTGTGGGAGGAGGGATGCAGAGTCATCGGCCTCCTGACTCAGGCAGGGCTGGGGTCCTCCTGCAGCGGCCATCCTCCTCCAAAGCCAGAGGTGGAAACCAGAAAACTGGGGCTTGGCTTTAGTGGTGCGCTGCCGTGCCCTGCAGCCGGCCTGGCAATTTCACCTGCATTCGCTCATCTCCTTGTTCCTGGGCCGCATCTCTGCCGGCACAAGACGAAACTGAAGCAGCAGAGTAGCAGATTCCCCGGCCCGAGAGAGGCAGGCGTGACCCTCCCATCAGCCCCCGCCCCCAGGTGGGTCCCAGCCCTGGCACACAGCACCCCTGAGGGCTGCATCCGCCCTTTGCATCTGCCCAGGCCTGTTTCACAAGGAAAACAGTCCAAAGCTCTCCTGTTGCTCGGGTGTCCTCCAGGGAAGGATGCTGGCTGTCTGCCCTTTGATGGACCCCATCGGGGCCTCCCAGCCACGCCCCGGAGGGGAGGTCTCACAGTGAGTGAGCCGGCTGGGGCAACACGCCACTCAGGATGGTGACAGTCATGAGATGTCACCTGCCAAATCCAGAGACAGGAGCAGGAG